GTAACCTCATCTGGCGCCACAAGACCAGAGTTTAAATAGTCAGTGCTGTGGAAACCTCATCTCCCAAGGCGACTGTTGACCAGAGCTATCTCGATATACCGTAGCCAGAATGTTTGGTTCCCCGGCCATGCACGGCTGTGCTCAACTAGATCAACTGCTAAGCCGGACGAGCCTCTGTACAACTTGCTATTTGGCAGGCTCATGCTACACGTGCTTCTGTCTGATAATGTTTCATAAAGTGGACGAGTTTCTGTCTCTCAGACATGCTCTGCAGTTGCTTCTAAGAAACGCTCTTGTTCAGCAAGCGAATCGTGCTGAGGTGTCTGCATTGCTTAAGGATGTTCACTTCGTTATGCTAATCTTAACTAACTGATGTAAGTTTTGAGGTTTTTACGGCGATGACTATGAAGAAGGTCGTCTTCTGGGATCTGGCGACGTGTATTCTTTGTTTCAGCCGACGTTTCGGAGGAACGTATCGCCTCCATCTTCAGGGCAGGTGAATTACGTTGCGAATACAGAGAGCAGTAGATGCTGAAGCCCCGGCGAGTAGGAGGGCGCGGCGGTGAGCACGGAAGGGTCCGGGAGTGAGCCCGCCTGGAGCCGCCGCCGGTGCAGATCTTGGTGGTAGTAGCAAATACTCAAGAGAGGGCCTTGAGGGCCGATGTGGAGAAGGGTTTTGTGTGAACAGCCGTTGCACACGAGTCAGTCGATCCGATGCTGATGAGCTACTGCTCTCTGTATTCGCAACGCAATTCACCTGCCCTGAAGATGGAGGCAATACGTTCCTCCGAAACGTCGGCTGAAACAAAGAATACACGGCGCCAGATCCCAGAAGACGACCTTGTTTAACTAACTGATGTTTATTATTGGACAGAAATTTTACCGCGTTTTATCGGCTGCAGAGGTTTTGTAGTGTCGTGTGTAAAGTGGTAGAATGTTGGAAGCAGAGACATATTTTAGAGATTTCATGTTCTCATATTGGTAATCTTCTGGATAATGACACCATGTAGTCTGGTAGTGCAACGAGGTTTCAGAGACACATACTTCCTCCATCTTCGGGTTATGCAGGAAATATGTCCTCCGAAACATTGGTAACCACCTACCATACTACACGGTGTCAGATCCAGAAGACCGCAATATGAAAAATTTCAGGTCACTTCCGAAGCATTCGACAGAACGAAGTGAGGAGAATGCTAGTGAATGTTTCGGACAGTGAGAACTGTTATTTTCGGGAGGGTTGTAGGACGCCTGCCAGTATTAAAGGCTTGCCACTTTATAAAGAGGTTAACAGAAACTGTAAATTTGTTATAGTTCTGTAAACTATACCTAATTCCTGGGTATGTCTGCATTCCAGTGTGGAAATTAGACTGCATATAAGTTGTCGAACATAACCTCAAAGTCGCAGCGATTTCCAGCGCGCGCACACATAAAATTGTTTTATACTAAATTTGTAGGTTTTATTACCGTCTGCAAGAATACCCAATTTTACATACTTTAAGTTACAACCTCTATCAGGCCGTCGTTATCTTGATATGTGTTTTTCACAAAAATTAGTTTAATGAATATTGCATATTTTTCGAACATAATATGTTCGTGTCAAATTTGCAGGCCGTTACTATGCCTCCAACCTCAGAAGTGTGCCACCTTGTTTATAATTTAGTGCATCAAGTCTGGCGATTTTTACGGCATGGCGCTGAAACCAAATTTCATGGAAAGTAGTCCACATGTTAGTAGAGGGATAAATACGAATGTGCATGTGCCGCAAACCTAAGGGAGCAGTTGCACCACTCCGAGAGTCAGTCCTGCGGGACTCGCAACCAAGAATGATTTCGCTGGCGAGTGTCAGCTTCAATTAATCCATTCCCATACAAACTTAAGACCCATGTTTAACAGTCCTATAATGGTTTATTTTAGTGGATGATTCATTATGTCAGTAATGCATTGGACATTGTCTGAGGTGTATCTGATATACGCGACGTTTCGGGCGGAACGCTGAAAAATTTCCTAAATAATATTAGTATAATGAATCAGCCACGCTCAGAAGCCTTTAGATAACCAGTTGATGTATGGTATTGACCCGAAGGAAAAGGTACATTCAGAATTTATCTCAAGACTGGAGTGTAACCGAATCCCGAAACTTTTGGTATATCGAGTAAATCTCAGACAATGAACAATAGCAAAAATAATATTAATATAAAGCCTATATATAGTTGTAGCAAGAAAAGTGCTCGTGTGGTAGAATGGTTCGTTTGTGGTCGCAGATATACGTTAGGTCTCCATTGTCCTTACGCCCTTCAAAATTTGTTCTCGCTGTGGGACTACTGATTCACCGTATGACATGATTACTGTCGCTGAGATGTGCCCTTGCTACTAACGTTGTGATGAGATCTGATGAGGATGTTGCACACCACCCCGAGACCCTCTTGCCAGCAGTGGCACTGGGTCGGGGGCGACTGTCTCGTCAGACCACGCAGCCATTCTGATGCAGCTTGACGAAGTGCCAGATTATCCCTCTCTCTCTTTCTGTCTACATCCACTCATGCTACTGCTAAATTAATGCAAGTGTCAGTTGATGCGTAGGTGCAAAACAAATGAACTGTTAACACTAACGAATATCTGCAAACACATGTCAAGTAAACGGTTCCTTATTCTACTTCTTTTGGCTTATTTTGGACTTCATCCATCGTCTGGTATGTAAAAGACATAAGACCACGACGTTTCGGAGACAGATCCAGTCTCCAAAACGTCGTGGTCTTTTGTCTTTTACATACCAGACGATGGATGAAGTCCAAAAGAAGTACAGTATACACCATCGTCAGAATCCTTTCAAGTTCCTTGTTGGATAGAATATTTTAGGGTTTCGTGCTGTCAGTGTTCAGAACTTCGACCCTGATGAGAGAGGCAATATGTTCCTCCGAAACGTTGATATGCATGTACAAAATTACATGGTGTCGCAACTTAGAAGACCACAGTCTGAATTCCTTTATTGAATACTGGAACGAACTTTTGGTTTGTAACATGGTCTCTCATATTAAGGGAGGAACATAGGCTGAGGGTGTTGAGGATAATATTGGTTCCCGTGAGGGGTGAAGTGACAGCAGGGTGGAGGAAGTTCATGTCGAGGAGCTACGTGAGTTGTACTCCTCGCCAAATATTATTACAACGATCCAGTCAGGGGCATGAGATGGGCAGGGCATGTAGCACGCATGTGAGACTAGAAGAGCGGGTACGGAGTTTTCATAGCAAAACCTGGAGGAAAGAGATACTAGGGAGATCTAGACGTAGATGGAAGAATATTGAAATATATCTTACAGAAATAGGATGGGATTGAAGAAAGCAGTCTTATGGGATGTGGCACCGTGTAGATATTGTGTTAACCGACGTTTTGGAGGAACGTATCGCCTCCATCTTCAGAGTATAAGAAAAAAGAAGAAACTCCGCGCCCGCGAAACGTCGGTTAACACAATATCTACACGGCGCCACATCCCAGAAGATTTGCTTTCTTCATAGTTACCGCCGTGAAAACCTCAAATCTTACATAGGGTGGGATTGTTGACCGGGTTAATCTGGCTCATGATATGGACCAGTTATGACCCCTCTTTTCGATTTATCTCACATGTGTCATTAGCAAAGAGGGCTAGGTAAACGCCTTTGGTTTTGGGGGGCTTTATTTATATACGTACTTCACATGTAGGGGTCAGGGCGAAACCTATAGCACCCCTGCTTGCGTTTCGCAAGGCGTTGACATCTCGTCACTGCATTTGCTGTTCCAGAGAAAAGAGTTGGTAAGCTTGAGTGTGTGATGGCCGAAAATCCTGATCTAAATTATTTATATAACATGCCACAGTGCCATGTTGTGTCAAAGTCAATTTCGGTATCCAAGAATATTCCTGCCATTGATATACTGCTGTTAAAATTTGGGGTCGCGTGGTCCGTAAGCCTCATACATTGAAGTGCCGTGCTATTCGTGCACGGAAGCCAAGGCTTTGGAACCTGTTTCCAGTGTGTGAATTTCTGGTTCTATCATGATCTTGGATGTAGGAAACGGTCGGATTTTGATGGATCACAGTGTTAACAGCCCAAGAACGAATTGAAGCCTATTTGAGATGTGAGCTGAAATAACAGCTGGGGTGTGCTATTACTGCTACTGCACACAGGAAGTACACCTGTGAGTTTGAAATTCCGTTCAGTCTGGCTTTATTCCACGTGGAACAGAAAAGAAGGATTCTTAGGAATTTTGTACGTCTTTTTCTTTTAGTTGATAATTTTAGATTCTGTCTCGTTCAAATGTCTGCATCCTTTCCTGCTTATGTTTTGCTTCCTCAATATTTTGTTTTCTTCTCTTTTTTTTATTATTTCGTCGTCTGTTTTGTGTTTTCCTGTCCTCCTTGTTTCGTGTCGTACTGGAATAGATTCACTCTCGGCAGGAAGGAAGTTGCTTTTAATTGTAGAGTTTAATTTAATTTGGTAAATCATTGGTGTCCAAATTGTTTGTCTGATTTGGCCAGGTACATCGGTAACCCTTCAGATATATCCAAGAGGTTCTCGGTTTGGATCCCTGACGGGACCCCGGTTATCCTGACTCAGATTTTTATGTTTTCCTTCTCAAGCCTTAAGGCCGTGGTATTGCTGATAAAGCGACGGCCGACGAGCCTGTGTGACAAGAAATTGTCTATGGTTGAGGTGAGGGAAAAATTCAGTCAATCTCATACCTTGAAATATTTATAAAAATTGTTGGATATGATCTTACAGTGTAGTATGCAGAGCTCGGCTTGCTGCCTGTTTCATGCTGATTTCTTACTTAGCTTACGCTTCAACCTTGGAAATGGAGGTAATGTGTTCCCCCGAAACGTCGATTGACTTTCACCGGACTACACCATGTCATATACCAAAAATATTTCATTCCAAAGGCGACGAAAACCGAAATTGCTAGGTGCACCTGAATTCCTATTACCTACATAGCAGTTCGTTCTAAATGTATTTATTTTATTTTATTGCAGCACAAGTCCCAGTCAGTTACAGGAAGTTACCTTGGATCCGAATGCAAGTGCAAGCGGAGCCGTCCCATGTAAGTAGAGTTGTCTTTACGTTTAGATATCTGAATCACATCTGGCTCATTGGGTCCATTGGCTGGCTTTTTGTAAACAGGATAATGAACCTTCGAGTTCCATAGAAAGCTGAAGATTTATTGAATGCTTGAAAAACTCTTAGTAAAGTAAAAGAATCCCTGTAACAGGCCTTGGAGGCCCATAGGGTTGTGAGATGTTGAGGTTCCCACATTTACTAGACAGTCGGCTCATAGATGGCGGCAAGGTTGTGAGCCCTACGCGCCGCCGCCCTTTACCCCCCAAGAATATTCCTGGTACTCATTTCTATTAGAGGCTGAGTCGACCCCAGGGCCATAGTCCAGCTGGAAGGATTAAGTCAATTGAAAAAAATCAAATGACCTCATCGGGACTTGAACCCGCGACCTTCCGGCTTGTAGCATAGTGCCTCAACCAACTAAAGACTCTTTTAGTTTACTTATTTTAAAACCTGATCGGTATCTCAAGTTCAGTGGATTTGATCTGTAAATATATAATTTAAATTCGGTGAGATAAGGGACTTGGTGGAATGTACAAAGACTCCTTTCAAACTAAACGCGGAAATCGAAAGACCATCGATTTAAGTTACTTTTCTCTTATTTTCCTCATACGTTTTGTAAAATAAGTTTCTTGTATGCGTATTTTAAGCATTCTGTTCTTGTTATGAAGACTTTAACAATTATTTTAAGCGGATAAGAATGCATATTCTGTATAATTTTTCCAGAAACGTAAGACTTGCGAGAAATGCGTGTAGGCATTCATGTAAAGTCCCTGCAAGTATCCGCAAAATTAGAAGGTACTGTATCTCGGTGTGTGACATTGGTTGGTAATTCTAAATATGCATGTTCTGCTGGTGCGTTGGTTTAGTATTTGTAATGTTAACATGGAAGTGGATTTGGTTATAGCGTAAGATTTTTGAAAAATAAGAGCTTTAAGGTTGTCCGATTTTAACAAACATTGATATGTATCGATGCCTTTTTTTTCGGATTCTTTAATGATGCGTTCGGTATCAGAATATATAGCATCAGGTATCGACGAATTATATCAAAACTTCCCAACGTAACACTTCATGAAAATCCTTTGAACGGTTCCTTGAATTCCATGCGTGCTCTCGGACGACAAAGAGATTTAAATAGGCCCTCCACAGAGATGCGAACATGCCTCGGGAAGAATCATAGATATCTTTGGCCCGAATATGTTGATTGTGTAGTAGGGTTAATAACTTTGTCAAGGGCAGTTCCTAAGGTTATTCTCTCCCGAAAGTGGCGAAACACATAAAGAGTACATTTTTGTGGGAAATTGAACTGTTCATTATTAGTTTNAGTCCCACCCCACTAGCAATAAAAAAATACTTACTTATGGAGCTCTGGGCCATTCATGAGGAGAAGCCAAATCTTTAGCTACTCAAGAATTTGCCAGCATTTTATGGAACCAGAAGGTTCATCACCGTGTTCACAAGAGCCCTCCATTGGTCCCTATCCTGAGCCAGATCAATTCAATCCATATCATCCCATTCCTATCTCTCTAAGATCCATTTTATTATTGTGCACCCACCTACGCATCGGTCTTCCCAGTCATCTCCTTCCTTCTGGCTTTCCCACCAATATCCTATATTCATTCCTCATCTCCCCCATTCGTGCTGAATGCTCTGCCCACCTCATCCTCATTGATTATTACTTTAGACACATTTCGAAATTAAATATATCGCATTTTACATAATGGAACATTTCTTTCGTTCATTCCAATTTTGTGCGTCGTTAAAGAAAGCTGTACCTCGCAGCTCCGTTTTAAATATTGGACAAAGCAATAGAGGTCCAGGATCTTACGTATGTGTTGGAGAACTGATTCCCCCAACCCCCTCGTTATTTTCTTCTCTGTTTATTCACTTCCAATATAACTCGGCAACAAATAACCTCAGTGGATGATATGTCATTACTAAAGATTAACCGGAGTTGTCTTATTGTTTGGAAAGCAACCCTAACATCAACAGGTTATGGGATATAATAGCTTTGTTTCCTAATTTCCACATGTGTCCCTCCGTAATAAATGTTTTTTCGTAGCTAAGAGCCGCGTTTACGTTAGAACTACGTCTGCATTCCTGCTGGATGCTGTGAATAAGCAGGACCTCTGCAGAGGAGGGGTTACTCGTTCTTTGACAAATCGCTTCTCTCTTAACCGCGGAAGCAGTAGACGATAATGGTAGTGCCGAAAGAGGAGCAAGCATAGCGGAAATCCGGTGGTGTTTTGTAGCTGCGTAAAAATAAGATGGCATAAGTGAAACAAACCCGTGACGTATTTCTAGTATTTATTAGATGTGGAATAAAGGGACTCCATACAGATACATCAAAGGAGAAATCGGGTGGGGATAGCTTCCTGAGGCGCTCTCACAAAGGAAGCTACGTATTTTAGGACCGGATATTACCGAGTAATTTAAATTCTTAGCATACGCTAGAATTTTAGCGTATCTTTAAATGGATTCGTATTTTACTGGTTTTAATGGTCGGTGCGACATTATTTTGCGCCATAGTGCAGAGTTTAGAAAGAAAAAGAACTGCTAAATGATGGTTTTCATAATTTATATTCCTCGGCAAACCAAGGATAATTAGATAAGCGGGGCATGTAGCACGCATGGAAGGGACGAGGAATAAATATGAAATTTTAGTCGGAAAACTTGAATGTAAGAAACCATCTCGGAGACCCGAGAATAGGTACTTATTTACTCATGGAACTGAGTCCTTGAGGAGCCGCCAATTCTGTAGCTGCTCAAGAACTTCCCAGCATTTTATGGAACCCGAAGGTTCATTACCGTGTTCACAAGAGCCCTCCACTGGTCCCTATCCTGAGCCAGATCAGTCCAATCCATACCATCCCATCCTATCTCTTTAAGATCCATTCTAATATTGTCCACCCACCTACGGCTTGGTCTTCCCAGTAGTCTTTTTCCTTCTGGCTTTCCCACCAATATCCTATCCCCCATTCGTGTTACATGCCCTTCCCACCTCATCCTCATTGAAGAATAGGTAATTGGACAGTATTACAATGGGCGTTTAAGAAATGTGTCTGTTTGTGAGCTGGATTCATTTGGACCAGGGTAGAGACCAGTTGTTATCTCTTGTCAACACGGTAACGATTTTCGGATTTCCGTAAAAGGCGATAAGCTTCTTGGGCACCTGTACTACTGTTAGCTTCCAAAGGAGTATACTCCATGAAGATAACGGATGATTTCCTAGTCGCCTGCCCCAAACAGTGTATCATCTGCGCGGGACCCTAATGCATCACTTCAGATGTTTTATTTCGGTCCGTTGGTGTACCTTACGAATTACTTCTGCTAAAACAACGTGTTGTTAAATGTTTTTACATGGGAATACATAGAAATGTAAAGGTAGCATTTGATGTCCCTTAATAATTATCGCATTTCGCATTCTACAAAATAGAAACAACATTGCAGACATGGACGGCAGCAAGTACGCAGATGTAAAGGTTCATTAATGAAGCTAATGAACTCCATGGAGCGAAGTCCTTGAGTCTCACAATTGCACAGCTACGCAATAAATTCTCTGTATTTTATGAAACCCGAAGGTTCGTTGCCGTGTTCACAAAAGGCCGCAACTTCTATCTATCCTGCGCCAGATTAATCAGTTCAGCACCCTCCTATCGCATTTCCTAATTAGGTCAGGATACCCGATCCTCGACCGAGTTTTGGTACAGATACGTTCATAATTCGTGAAGGAAGTATTTCCATTCTTGACCTCATAGGCGAATAAAACTCTAAAAATCCAAATGCATTCTGACAGCTCAGAATATATCGGCTAGATCAATGTTCATGTTTTTGTAAAATTGTGTAAACTGCTATACCCGTGTTACATTTCAAGTCGGGAGTTTAAAAATATCCTCTTTCTGCGTCATGACTGTAAAACTTAGTTACTGAGCTTTCGCGGTCGTGGTAGTAGCCGGTTTGAATCGTGCTCTTGTTTATTCCTGACCTTAAGATTTAAAACCTCGTGAAATTCTTCTTGAACGTAAAAGGGAGAAGTAACAGGAAGTTGGATAAAATTACATAAAAATAATAATAATTGATTTTGCTCTCCAAATATTAGAGTGATCGAATTAAGATTAGTAGAACTAATTGCACGCATGGAAGATACAGGAAATTGATACAGAATTTTAGTCAGAAAAACAAGAGGGAGTTAACCTCTTAGAAGGCAGTCAGTTTATCCAGGAAAATACCGGAATAGTATCTTATATTAACCCACGAACGCTTCTTTCCATATTTTCATTTCTAACGTTGAAAACTTTAATTTACGAGGGTAAAAATGGAATGAAACCGTTAGTAACAGAATTTGTAACATAAGTAACAAAATCTGTAACAATTTGTAATTATTGGTACATTTCTAGGCAGAGGCAGTTTAACACGTTACCACATCAATGAATCAACACGGAACAATAGAGGAAACGGAAAGCCCGTGGAAACGATGTTTTCTATGCGATTAGTGCGGGAACCTTATAAATACAGTGAAATACGACAATAAATGCGGAGTTATGTTCATGTGGAGGCGGGGTCGAATACCTCCACCGTGACCCTGCGAGTCGTAGGAGGTAACAAAAAGGGAAACTTCAAATCTGAGACAGTGAAATATTGTCACGAGTCGATTCGGACCTGAGAAAGACTGCGCTGGCAAGGTCCAGCAGCATATACGAAAGCCAAACCCGTCCTCTCGTCAGAGAGGGCGACCCACAAAAACAAGAACTTAACTGTCAAAGAGTAATAAATATCTGATCATGACCCCCAGATGTGGCTCGACACCAAGACTTACCGATTGACTGACTGTCAGTCTCAGTGTGACTTTGACTTTGGTAATAAATGCGAGGTATACGGATAATTCAGTTCCACTCTTTAGTGTATGACGCAATGCTATAGACAAGCTGGCAGTATATGACGTCACGCACTTAAGATGTCCGCTGGTAATAGTCGTGCTGCGTAATG